GCGGGCGCGTCGTTGATACCGTCGCCCACCATGGCCACGATGCGACCTTGGGCCTGGAGCTCTTGGACTTTGGCCGTTTTGTTGGCCGGGAGCACCTCGGCCATGACGTGGTGGCTCGGAAGACCGATTTGCGCTGCGACCCAGTGCGCCGTGCGGCTATTGTCGCCCGTCACCATGTACACGTCGAGGCCGAGCGCATGGAGATGAGCGATCGTCTGCTTGGCCTCGGCGCGCGGCGCGTCCGAGATGCCAATGAGTGCAACGACCGAGTCGCAAATCCCCATGTAGATGACGGTCTTGCCGGCTTCTTCGAGGCGACGACGATGGCTTGGGACAGCCGCGGGAACCGCCATGCCACAGTCCTGCATGTAGTCGAGGTTGCCGAGATGGACGACTGCATTGGAAAGCTCGACCGTGATACCCTTGCCTGAGACGGCAGTAAACGACTCGGGCTGCTCCAATGGCTTGGCCAATAGCTTGCCACGGTTCACGATCGCCCGACCGAGCGTGTGCTCGCTACCGAGCTCTGCCGACGCTGCCAGCCACATCAATGCGTCCGACGTCCACTCGTTGCTCAGCACAATCACGTCCGTCACGCTCGGCGTCCCGTTCGTCAACGTCCCCGTCTTGTCAAAGAGCACCGTGTTGACTTTGTGTGCGACCTCGAGGGGCTCGCCGCCCTTGATGAGGATACCGTGGGTCGCGCCGACACCTGTCCCGACCATGACGGCCGTCGGTGTTGCCAGCCCCAAAGCACACGGACACGCGACCACGAGCGTCGAGATGGCAAAGTTGAACGCGAAGAGAAAGCCGCCCGTGTGGTCTGGCGGCACCACGTATCCGAACGAGACCAGACCAAACCAGACTGCAAACGTCAGCACAGAGAGACCCAGCACGATCGGCACAAACACCGACGCGATCTTGTCGGCGTAGGCTTGGATCGGCGCCTTGGACGTCTGCGCGTCTTCGACCAGTCGCACAATCTGGCTCAGCGCCGTGTCGCGACCGACGCCCGTGACGCGCATGTGGAAGAGACCGTCGACGTTGAGCGTGGCGCCGAGGACCGTGTCACCAGGTGTCTTTTTGATCTAGGACGAGCTCGTTAGCTTATCGGTGGTAGATCGATGACGCACGGGCTTGGACTCGCCCGTTAGCATGGACTCGTCGAGGCGGCCTTCGCCTTCCGTGATGACACCGTCGGCCGGGACGTTGCCGCCGCGGACGACCTTGAGAATGTCGCCACGCTGCACCAACTCGATGGGCACGACCTCTTCGCTGACATTGCCATTCGCATCTTGGATCAGCATGGTGGCGACCTACGCAAGCGACACGCGAGGTAAGGAAAGTTGGTCGACTGATCGCAAAAGGGATGTACCTTGGCTTGGAGCTCAAAGAGCTTGCGGAGTGCGTCGTTGGTGCGGCCTTTCGCGATCGCCTCCATGGTCTTGCCGAGCAGAATGAACGTGATGAGCATCGACGACGTCATGTACATGTCGGGGACGCTCAGCTCTGCGTTGGCCCAATAGACGCAGCGAAGGTCGCTAAAGAGGCCGTAAAAGTAGGCGGCGTTCGTGCCCATCGAGACGAGAAACGACATGCCGAGCGTATGATTCTTCAAGCCCTTCCACGCCTCCGCGTGAAACTTGGCGCCAGCGAGGAATTGCACCGGCGTCGCCAGCCTACACGTACGTGTTCCATCAGCATGTCGGTCGCGTGAAGGTCATTGGAGGATGGTACACGAGCAAGAAGAACGAGTCAAAGGACGTGCCGGGGAGCTGAAACACGGGGCTCTGCAAACCGAGCGCGACTTGCGGAATGTTGTCGAGCACCGTCATGAGAATCACGATCGGAAAGGTAAAGAAGAGCGCGAGGTACAGCCGGCGCTTCCACGCCGCGACCTCGACGAGCCGGTTCTCGGTCGACGCGGCTGTCGTCGACCCCGTCGCGACCGACGCTTCGTACCCAATGGCCTCGACGACTTCAACGAGCGACCGGATGCCAACCTTGTCCTTGGTAAACTTGACGTACGCGCTCTCGGTGGCAAAGTTGACGACCGCCGAGAGGACGCCGTCCGTGCTGCGGAGCGCGGTCTCGACCGAGTTGGCGCACGAGTTGCACGTCATGCCGACGACCGTGAGCGTCACGTCGCCCGTCTCGACGGCTGGATGCACGACGACCGATACGACCGGCGCCGGCGCCGCAGTCTCGTGGATGGCCGGCGCAGTCACTGATGGGTCGTGCACGGACGCCTTGAACTTTTTGCCCTTGATGCTCTCGATTGCCGCAATGAGGTCGGTCTCGGTGATGCGACTGCCCGGCGCAATTGTGATGGTCGCGACCCGGTGCTCAAAGTCGACGGTGGCCGCCTGCACGCCGTTGGCTTCGCTGAGCGCGGCTTGCACCTTGGCCGCGCAGTTCATTTGGCAGCTCATGCCCTCGACGCCAAGTTGGACGATCCGCACTAAGCGGTCGTCGCCGGCCATGTACGCGTCAAAGCTCTTGGTCGCACCCGCGTCGAGGCTGCGCACGGCGTGGATGAGCTCGACCGCCGAGACAGACGCGTCGCATTGCACGGTCGCCGCCTTGTCCTTGAAGCTCACGCTGGCCGAGGCAACGCCAGGCACCGCCTCGAGCGCCGACTGGATGCGCGTCGCGCAGTTCTTCTGGCAGCGCATGCCCTTGACGACCAAGCGCATCTCATGCATCATCCTGCTGCGGTGCGGAAATATCGAAATGGCCGCGATCTGCCAGCACCCGCTTGCCGCCCGGCAAAGTGCGGATAAAAGCACCTGCCATTTGTAATGGGTCGCACTTACTCGATCTCATACAAATCCAGTGTGACATTTCCACACAAGTGCGATTCCCGACTAAGTCACGTGTTCGTACACCTGTGGTCGGCATCCAACAGAAACCAAGATCGAGCGCCGCTAAGTTCGCGCAGCTGCGTCGCGGTGTTGCTTACTCTGCGGCTCATTTACACTCGGCTAGGTACGGACGTGCCTTAAGTGCTGCGTTTGAGCTCCACGTGGATCGCGCGGAATGGTCGACGTGTCGCGTGCATCTTTGTTCGCGAGCGTTCGCGCCAGTGCAAAGGGTGCGCCGTGCACAGCCCAGACACGCTGGCGTTGTTTTTACAGCCGCACACAGGAGCGTCTCTTCTTGCAGGCGATTTCGATCGGTTCAAGCACGAGCCTGCGATGGTGGATCCCGCGGGCTCGACATCATAAGTAGACTTTTGCTACAAATTGTACACCGGTTGCGGAGTTGGCCAGGGCGGACCCTTGAGCTTGACCACGCGCTCAATCGGACGGGTTTCGCTTGCCAAAATGATTCTTGGGCCTTCCTGTGGTTGTACCGATGCACTCGTAGGACCGAGGCGCATTGTGCTATTGTCCTCGGGGCCCACTTGTCCACGGGATGCATAGCGTCGCGTCGGCGGCGTGTACCACTTGAGCAGAAGCGACGACGTGACGACCGAGACGGACGAGAACGCCATGGCCGCGCCCGCAAACATGGGCGGGATCGAGACGTTCCAGTGGTAGAGTACGCCCGCCGACAAGGGCAGCAACACCAAGTTGTACCCCATCGCCCACACAAAGTTGAGCTGGATGCGCCGGTAGATGGTCCGCGAGAGGTCCAGCGCCGTCACGACGTCGTGCAGCTTGGACTTCATGAGCACCATCTGCGCCGTCTCGATCGCAATGTCCGTGCCAGCACCGATCGCAACTCCGAGGTCGGCTTGCGCCAGCGCGGGCGCGTCGTTGATGCCGTCGCCTACCATGGCCACGATGCGACCTTGGGCCTGGAGCTCTTGGACTTTGGCCGTTTGTTGGCCGGGAGCACCTCGGCCATGACGTGCTGGCTCGGAAGACCGATTTGCGCTGCGACCCAGTGCGCCGTGCGGCTATTGTCGCCCGTCACCATGTACACGTCGAGGCCGAGCGCATGGAGATGAGCGATCGTCTGCTTGGCCTCGGCGCGCGGCGCGTCCGAGATGCCAATAATCGCCAATAGCGTCTTCTTGGCGGCCACAAACACGGTGCTTTTCCCAGTCTCTTCGAGGCTCCGTGCTTGTTTTGACACGTAGTCGACGTTGATGCGAACGCTCTTTTCTTTGAGATAGTCGAAGTTGCCGATGTGCACCGTGGTCTTCTGCACCTCAGCAGTAATTCCTTTCCCCGAGACAGCAGTAAACGACTCGGGCTGCTCCAAGGGCTTGGCCAATAGCTTGCCACGGTTCACGATCGCCCGACCGAGCGTGTGCTCGCTACCGAGCTCTGCCGACGCCGCCAGCCACATCAATGCGTCCGACGTCCACTCGTTGCTCAGCACAATCACGTCCGTCACGCTCGGCGTCCCGTTCGTCAACGTCCCCGTCTTGTCAAAGAGCACCGTGTTGACTTTGTGTGCGACCTCGAGGGGCTCGCCGCCCTTGATGAGGATGCCGTGGGTCGCGCCGACACCTGTCCCGACCATGACGGCCGTCGGTGTCGCCAGCCCCAAAGCGCACGGACACGCAACCACGAGCGTCGAGATGGCAAAGTTGAACGCAAAGAGAAAGCCGCCCGTGTGGTCTGGCGGCACCACATATCCGAACGAGACCAGACCAAACCAGACTGCAAACGTCAGCACAGAGAGACCCAGCACGATCGGCACAAACACCGACGCGATCTTGTCGGCGTAGGCTTGGATCGGCGCCTTGGACGTCTGCGCGTCTTCGACCAGTCGCACAATCTGGCTCAGCGCCGTGTCGCGACCGACGCCCGTGACGCGCATGTGAAAGAGACCGTCGACGTTGAGCGTGGCGCCGAGGACCGTGTCACCAGGTGCTTTTTGATCTAGAACGAGCTCGTTAGCTTGTCGGTGGTAGATCGATGACGCACCGGCTTGGACTCGCCCGTGAGCATGGACTCGTCGAGGCGGCCTTCGCCCTCCGTGATGACACCGTCGGCCGGGACGTTGCCGCCGCGGACGACCTTGAGAATGTCGCCACGCTGCACCAACTCGATGGGCACGACCTCTTCGCTGAGATTGCCATCGGCGTCTGTGATCAGCATCGTGGCGACCTACGTGTTTTCTTAGAGTTTTCTGGTGGGCGACATCAGAACGCAAAAGGGATGTACCTTGGCTTGGAGCTCAAAGAGCTTGCGGAGTGCGTCGTTGGTGCGGCCTTTCGCGATCGCTTCCATGGTCTTGCCGAGCAGAATGAACGTGATGAGCATCGACGACTCCATGTACATGTCGGACATGCTCATGCTTGCATCGGCCACAATGAGGCTGTAAATATCGCTGAAGAGACCGTAGCAGTACGCTGCGTTGGAGCCGAGCGAGATGAGAACGGACATGCCATAGTTGCGAGTTCTGAAGCCGTTGATGGCTTCCTTGTGGAATCGCAAGCCTGCGTACGTCTGAACAGGCGTCGCGAACCTAGTTGGAGACTATTAAGACGCGTCCGTGACGGTCTATAAAACTACAGGCACAGAAGCAGCGCGCGCCAGGACGAGCCGCGGAGGCCGAAAAGCGGCGTCTGCAGCATGGATGCTGCAATTGGAATGTGGTCGAGCACGGTCATAATGCCCAGAATGGGGACTGTGAAGCACAGAGCGATGAGGAGCTGGCGCCTCCACGCGGCAATCTCGAGCAAGCGGTTTTGGCCGACGCGGCCGTTGCCGAGCCCGTCGCGACGGAGCCTTCATAGCCGATGGCCTCGACAACTCTGAGTAGCGACGGCACGCTCGTGTCAAGTGGAGAAAACTTGACGAACGCGCTCTCGGTGGCGTAGTTAACGATGGCCGTGACGACTCCCGGGCTATTTCGGAGCGCACTCTCGACCGAGTTGGCGCACGAAAGGCACATCATGCCCACGATCGTCAGTGTAATCGCAACGTCGCAGCCCAAAGGTAGAACAGACTGCACTCCAGGGACATTATTGTCAGTCTCGAACACAGCGCGCTCGATGGCCGCGACCTGCATCGGCCAAAGGGCTAAGAAATACGGCGGTTTCAATTCGTACCTTAGAGAGAGATACAAACATCAAGTTAAAGGTTCTTCTAAAGTACGAGTGCCTTTTAAGTGCGGTGTTTGAAATGCATGCATCGGATTGGCTGGCGTCGAACCAATTCGATTGATTGTGCGCCGACATGATACCCTTGGTTCATCATGGCTGAATTTACGTGTCCGTCGTGGCGGCACAGGCCATCGTCCCAGCGTGCGTCCGTGGTTCCCGACAGAGTCATTCTGTTGGCAACGACCAATGCCATCCCCAAGAGGATCCAAGTTGCTTGTGGCCATTTTCATATATATATCCTATCGGTGCGGTCATTCTTCTTCGCGACCTCTCAGCTTTAGACATCGCTGCATCTTTCAGCCATGTCTGTCGTGCTATCCCTAGTGTTGTGGTGGCACGCAAGGTATCGTGGTCGTCTCTGCCAGCTTGGCGCCCTCTCCATGCAATGGGACGCAACGTCGATGTACACCGCTTGCTTCTCTTTACGTCTCCTGCATATGGAGGCGTCGTGACGCGGTGACGGCAGATGCTCACGGCAGCACTGTTCCTCGCACGCCCCGCACCCTCCACGTACCTTCCGAGGCCGTCTGGTGCGACCTCTCCCTGCGCATAAAATATCCTTCGATCGAAGGTTTAAGCGCCGATCGTTCCTACGCCGGCAACTTCAAATGTCCGTTACAGGCGCGCCTTTTAGCACATGCCTTCGAACTTTTTATTCAGACCCTAACTCAACAACTTGCCATGTCGAGTCCGCTGCCCGTCTTCCACACCGAATACGAGGTACAGGACGACAGAGATGTCTCTTCATCGAGATGCTTATGGTACATTAGGCGCGACTCAAGTCGCCCCATCACGCACGCCCTAAACGCCACTCGAGCCAAAACGCCAATGTCGCCGTCAACTCCCAACAGAGTCACAAGGCGCCACGATTGACCGCCACGTCTCTGACGTCGCCAAGCACGAAGAAGCCAACGAACTACGCACCCTCGTACGTCATCCCGATCATGGTCCCAAGGCTTGACCACGTGCCACGTAGCCGCTCCAAGCAGGTTTACAGCGACCGCTTCATCCCGTCGCGCGTCGCATCGCAGCTCGAAGAAGGCTACTGCGTCCTCTCCGAGCCACCGTCGAAGAAGCAGCACATGACGTACGCACCGACCTCAACGATGAATGTAGAGTTGATGAGGTCGACGACGTAGTCTCGACGCCGAGCCGACGACGCCGGTGCAGTCGTCGAAAAGCCGCGCAGCGTTCTCACTGGCGCTGCAAAGCGAGCTCCTCGGCTTGCCGTCGCCGCGCTCGCCAAGCACGATGGCCTTCAACTTCAACGTGGACAGCAACCCATGGGGTACATACAACATCTACATTGAAACAGCGAGCACTCAGTGTTGGTGCAGAGGCCGTCGGCAGCGGTGCATCGAGCCCCAACCTGCTGCGCTTCCAGTCCCCCCGCGTTCAAGAGACAAGCCCGACCGAGGCGATGGCCTTCGTGTCGCGCTTGGGGCGAGCCCACCTGAGGTACAAACATCCTCACAAAGGACAAGTTGACCAACATTTTAGCAGCGAAACTGCGTCGTCCAAAGAGCGCAAGATCCCCAAAGCGCCGTTCAAGATTCTGGATGCGCCGTCGCTTCAAGACGATTTCTACCTCAATCTTGTCGACTGGTCAGCCCTCAACATCCTCGCCGTCGGCCTCGGCGCGTCCGTGTACCTCTGGAGTGCGTGCACGAGCAAGGTTTGCTTATTTCGTCCTAATCACGATTTCTCCAATGGCTTATCAATCGATGGCATTAGGTCACCAAGCTGTGCGACCTCGGCACCGCCGACTCGGTGACGTCCGTTGCTTGGACACAGCGGGGTACGCAGCTGGCTGTCGGGACGCATTCGGGCCAAGTGCAGCTCTGGGATACGATCGAGTGCAAGCTTCTGCGCACACTCCAGTATACGCTCAACGACGTCTGTCGCATTTGCTAACGCAATGCGTAGGGGGCACGACGAACGTGTGGGGGCGCTGGCGTGGAACTCCCAGCTCCTTGCGTCGGGCAGCCGGTACTATCGACGATGCAATGCGAGTTGTAACCCCTAAGTGTAGGGACAAGACCATCTACCTGCGCGACATGCGCATGCCCATCGACTTTACGACCAAGCTCGTGGGCCACAAACAAGAAATCTGCGGCTTAAAGTGGTCGTTCGACGACCAACAGCTCGCGTCGGGTGGCAACGACAACAAGCTTATGATCTGGAACTGCCACGCGACCCACCCGGTGCTCAAGTTTGCCGACCATACGGCGGCCGTCAAAGCGATCGCGTGGTCGCCGCATCAGTCGGGTATGTCTACTCCAAACATTTCGATGCTCGTTTCTCATCTAGGGCTTTTGGCGTCCGGCGGTGGCACCGCGGACCGCTGCATTCGGTTCTGGAACACCCACCACGGCTCGCGCCTCCAGAGCCTCGACACGGGCAGCCAAGTGTGCAACCTCATGTGGTCCAAGAACAGCAACGAGGTCGTGAGCACGCACGGCTACTCGCTCAACCAGGTGATTGTGTGGAAGTACCCGACGATGACCAAAGTCGCGACACTGACGGGCCACACGTACCGCGTCCTGTACCTCGCCATGTCGCCCGACGGCCAAACCATCGTGACGGGCGCCGGCGACGAAACCCTTCGGTTCTGGAATGCCTTTCCGAATGCGGGCCCGCGCAAATCAGCGCCGTTCGCTTCGTCGCTTCACTTTCCCAGCGGCGGCGAGATTCGCTAGCCAGACCATGACTAACTTATGACACCAATACTTACCGATATCGTAACACGTATTATGCTGGTATTACTCTCTACTCGACACACTTGTCGATGTATGCCAAGCAGCCGCAAAGGTCAGAGAATGATACGGTAAGCCGTGGCCGTGGAGAGATAAAAAGCAAGTCTTGGATCGTCGTTGCTGGATCGACGTGCAGAGCAAACCAGACACGTCGCTGCATATTGTGCCGCAGAGTGTGGCGTGACACGGGCGAATCGCCGACGATCCCGTGAGCGCGTCCTCGCGCATCACCGTGTACAGCATTACTGTCTTGCGAGGCTGTACGCCGCTACATTATCGATGCTAGACGGACGGGAAATGTGTCGCCGTGTGGCCGTAGTGATACCGAAAATGTTTTCAGTGTCACAATATCCAGTTGAGATCCAATGTGAGTTTTTTCATAATTATGTGTGCTACGTTCACTTGCGACCACGGCCACCGCCACGGCCACCGCCACGGCCACCACCACGACCGCCGCCACGGCCACCGCCACGACCGCCACCACGACCGCCGCTGCTACGACCGCCGCCATCCTTCGAGTCCTTGACGCGCTTGGCGGCCTTGTACGGCTTCTTGCCGCTATCGCCCTCGCCTTCGCCCTCGTCGTCGTGGTTCTTGCCGTAGCGCGACCGCTTCCCGGAGCTCTTGCTTGTCTCTTCCTTGAGCTCGATCGTCGCTGCGCGCTGGGCCTCGCCAACGCGCTCCAGAAGCACGAGCACCGTCGACTCTTCGCACTTGAACGCGTCGAGCTTCTTTCCGAGGAGGTGTTCGATGCGCTGGTAGAGCTCCACGTCGTACTGGGTCACAACGGAGAGCGCGATACCGGCACGGCCGGCGCGGGCCGTACGACCGACGCGGTGGATGTAGTCCTTGCCGTTGGTCGGAATGTCATAGTTGACGACGACATCGACCGAGGGAATGTCCAACCCACGCGACGCGACGTCCGTGCACACGAGGATCGAGCGCTGCTTGGCCTTGAACTTGTTCAAGGCGCCGAGACGGTTGGGCTGGCTCATTTGGCCGTGGAGGCAGATCGCAGGAAACCCGAGCGACCGGAGCATGAGCGTGATCTTCTGCGTGCCGTTGCAGGTGGCGCAAAGATGAGGATGCTCTGGCCCGCGAATTCGTTGAGGACATAGGCAAGGTAGCAGTCCTTGTACTTGGCGGGCACGAAAAGGTACTTTTGGGCCAGCGTATCGGGCGTCGCAAACTTGTGGGTGATCTCGACCTTGACGGGGTTTTTGAGCGACGCGCGCTGGAGCTTGGCGACCTTGGACGTCATGGTCGCCGAGAAGAGGTACGTGCGGCGGTCGCTCGGCATGAGCTGCACGATTTGGTTGATCTCTTCCTCAAAGTCCATCGAGAGCATGCGATCGGCTTCATCGAGCACCAAGTACTTCATGGTCCGGAGCGAGAAGCCCTTGGTGTTTTCAAGATGGTCCACGAGACGACCGGGCGTCGCGATCACAATGTGCGGCTTCTTGGCGAGCGCGACCTGCTGGTTCATCATGTCGATGCCACCGACGACGCACGCACACTTGAGCCCGATCGACGCACCGAGCGCCTCGAACTGCTCGGAAATCTGGAACGCCAGCTCGCGCGTCGGCGCTAGCACAAGCGCAAAGAGGCGCTGCGGCGTCTGCAGCAGATCCTGCAGAATCGGAATCACGAAGGCACCGGTCTTGCCCGAGCCCGTCTCGGCGAGGCCGATGAGATCGTGGCCTGCGAGCGCCGGTGGCAGCGTCTGTTGCTGGATCTTGGACGGCGCCGTCCAGCCAAGGGCCGTGATGGACTCGACGATCGTCGGGTCGACGCCGAGCTCCAAGAAGCTCTTGGCCTCCAGCTCTTCGTCCGCGTCGATCACGACTGCATTCTCTTCGACCTTGGCGCTCATCCTTGTTGTGCAAAATGAATATGCCATTGGTTGATTGCGCGAATTTTAGCCAACCAAAATTTACCTCATTTTGGTTGGCCACCCAGGCAAAGGTGTAACTTGCGGTAACTGCTACATCTTGGAAAGGCGGCAAGAGAGTCCTTGCTTCAAGGCGCCGATCGACAGATGCGCATCATCAAATGCGTCGACGAGCATAGCGTGATGGTGCATGGAGCCGGACTTCCCATGCCGCGACCATGCCCTATGTACGTCATTGGTGGTGAAAATGAAATCAAGTTTTTGGACGATCAATAATGGAAGGGAATGCGATGAGCACTTGACAACGCGCTGTTGAGCAAACTAATTCTGGCAATGATTTACCGCTGTGCGTCGTGGCTGACGTGGTGTGATTGCCGGCCGAGAGCCCATCAACCAAAGCACTGGTCGTGTTGGTGACGGTCTTTGGTGAGTTCGCTCGTCCGGTCAAGGCGCTTAGCGCATGCTACTGCTGGCGGTAGGTCGGTCCTGCCTGCATTATGGTAAGAGTACGTGCAAAGGATCGGCGCCAACGTACTGCGACGCTCTTTCGGTGTAGTTTTCCACCAATCATGGGCCAGCATCCACTTCAATACGCCAAATTGGCAAAGTCAAACCATGCGCGAAGACTGGCCATCGCCCGAGGTCCCGTACCTGGCGCAGAACGACGTCTGTTGCGAGCTCACGGCGCCGACGACTGCTGACGACGTGCCGAGCGAAGCGCCTCGGCCGCCGTACCGCGTGCGCATTGCGCGCATCACAGACCCGGCGCACCCGGCGCACAACGAATTTGGCCTCTTCGCCGCCGAGCCGATTCCTGCCCACGCCTTCGTGCTCAACTACATTGGCCGCGTGCACCTCCAGAGCACGTACCCAGACTCGGACTACGCCGTGACGTACTATGGCGCCTTTGCGATTGACGCGACAGACGCGGGGAACGAAGCGCGCTTCATCAACGACTACCGCAACATTGGCCCGCGCCCCAACGTCGCCTTTGACACGTACAAGGAAGCAAGAAGCGATGGCGACGTCAGCAGGATACACGTCGGCGTCTATAGCCTCAACAAGCCGATCGCAGAAGGCGAAGAGATCTTGGGCAACTACGGCCGCGCGTACTGGCGCGCACGCGGAGTCAAGGGCTACCTCGGCCCGGACTGGGACGACGACTGGGACTAACGTACTCTTTCGCGATCGCTTGCATTTGTGTAAGAGCGCTTTGAATACAACAGCGCTGTTGCCGCTTATGCTGATGCTGACGCGAGCGTATGCATCGAAACTTCTTCGCCAGCTAAACAACGCTCGCCGTCCTCATGCGGAGCTATATGTAATCTAGTCGAGCACCGCGCTGTACCAGGCTTTGTGACGCAATGCTGACTGCTTGCGCGTACTGCTTCACCAAGCTTACACGCCTGTATTACATGCCGCGAACGACGTGCACACGCAGTTCGAGGATTTACTCGGTAATTCAAGAGACAGCGCAGACGCTGGAAGCCATGCGCTTCATCGATACCTCTGCATACAGTTGTGCCGTTTGCTAGAGCCCCAGCTTACTGTTCAACATCTTGTCGCTGGTTTACCGTAGTACAGTCGCTAGCAGCTCCCAGTGATGATCCGTGTTAAAATATAGGTCCGTCTAAAAAGGTCTCAGTCCATGTCGTGGTCCTCGGTCGCATCGTCGTCATCTTCAACGGGCTCGATCGCGTTAATGGTAGCAATCATATCGTTCACTTCATCCAGCTGGACGTCCAAGTGAAAGTCGCTGCCCATGTTTTCTTGAGCTTCGAGAGCATCTAATTTACGGGGTCAGTCGTCGTCTCTATGTTGGGAAATCCTACCGCCGAGCACCGCTCGAGGAACTCGAGCGCAGTGTCATAGTCTTCGAGCGCCTTGTAGCACGAGCCAACGAGGAACCACACCTCGGCGTTCTCGTCGTCTTCCTGCATGACGCCTTCGAGGACGTACGCCGCCTGTTCAAACTTTTCGACTTCAATCAGAAGCTTGCCAGTGAACGTGCGAAACTCGAGCGATGGCATCGTGTTCTCATCTAATCCATTTGAGGCGTGGGAATGACGTAGTGTGAGGAGGAGGCAACGGTACCGCAGGCGCCGAGGCGCTTGTAGGTTTCGTCGAGGAAGACACAGGCTTCGTCCTTGCGCTGCTGCGTGAGCCGCAAGTTGGCCAGCGCCTGCGTCGGCTCGGGCAGACCCATGTCATACTTCATGGCTTCCTGGAGGTACATCTCGCACTTGGCTTCGGCGTCGTCGGCGTCACTAGATGTTGCGCCGTGTCAGCGTTCGACTTGAGTCGCAAGTGGCGTACCAGAGGTCCGACATGTAGAGCTCGCCCAAACTGCAGTAGGCGTCGCACACTTGCTTGCGCAATAACTTAGATTCGTCCGTCTACGCGGCCTGTCAATACGACACAAGTGATGACGACGACGACGTACGGTCTCGATGCCAGGCAGCGCCGGCATGAGCTCCTTCATGATGGCAATACCCTGCAGCGTGTAGCGTTCCGACTCTTCGCCGACGAGGAGCTGAGCTGCGTAGAGGTACTTGCCCGGGTTGTTCTTGGGCGCCAGCTCAATCGAGCGGCCAAACGCCTGCAGCGCAGTCTCCGGGTCGTCGATCTCGGTCGCTAGCTCGCCAATGGCATCGAGGATCTCCGAGTTGGTGGGCTCGAGCGCCGCGGCCTTTTGGAAGAACTTGATCGCGAGCTCCGGCTGGCACTGATCCACGAGCTCCTCGGCCTTGGCCAGGAGCGCTGCCGCGTTTGCCTTGCCGCCCTTCGCCATTCAATCGCTCCTTTTTACGACTTGGTCAAAGACCGAGGTCTGGAGGGAAAATCAACCAATCACAGGACACTATCCACGAGCCAATCAACAGTCTGCCAATGGCCTGTCCGACAAGAGAGCGTCGCCACGGCCATTGGCCAAAAGTCGGCGAAGAGAGCAGGCCAATCCGCAGATACCCTGCATATAGTGTCATAACGTAAATCGTGTGACTACGAGGGCGATCCTGCCCGACGCCTTGGATGTAGTAGTAGTACGGTGCCCACATCTCTCTCGACAAGAATGCAACGATGGCGGTACATGTATTCTGCTCGTCGTCTCCTCTCTTGAATAGTAGCGTTAGGATATCCAAGTGTGCAAGTGACATCGCACTCGCCAGCGTTTAATGCTATACATAGATTATTATAGACACCTCGATATAGTGTCATTGGTATCATCCGAAGGAATCACGTCTTTACTGCTAGCAGCAGTGCATGCACGCATGGACTTCGAAAGCGCACAAACAAAGACCTTGTGACAGCGACCGTAAAGAGCTAGCTAAAGTGTCGCTGTGTTCGGCGCCCGCACGGGTGAAATGCGATCCGGAAGCACACTATTTGCGGTTTCTGTTTGTGGAAGATCGCAATTCGTCGAAAGGATACCAGTACAAGTGTACTGCTCCGACGCCAATATGGCCGCAGCTATGCTCGTCGGCGCAGTGGCGTGGGCGACGTTCGCCAACAGCATTGGCAATGGCTTTGCGTGGGACGACCGCGGTGCGATCCTGACCAACGCCGACGTGCACAGCGACGTGACGCCGCTCTCGAACCTGCTGTGGCACGACTTTTGGGGCGGCGACATGCACTCGCCCATTAGCCACAAGAGCTTTCGCCCGCTCACGGTGCTCAGCTTTCGCTGCAACTATGCCATCAGCGGTCTAACTCCATGGAGCTTCCATGCGACCAATGTCGCGCTCCACGCGATCGCATCGATGCTCGTCGTCGTCGTCGGCCAGCGCCTGCAGCGGTCGTCACGCGTGCCGGTCCTCGGCGGCCTCCTCTTTGCCGTGCACCCGATCCACTGCGACTCGGTGGCCAGCATCGTTGGCCGCGCAGACATCCTCGCCACCGTTTTCTCGCTCGCAGCGATCCTGGCCTATGTCCCGCGCGCGGCCAAGGCCACGCCGACACCGCGCCACGTGGCCAGCGCAATGTTCTGGACACTCTGCGGTACGTGCATCTTGTCCAACTCGAATCCAGTATTACAACGAGGCGAAATAGCTACTCTGTGCAAGGAAAATGGTGCAACCACTTTTGGTATTCTGCTCGTCCTCGAATGCGCGCGGGCCCATGAGGCGTCGCCGAGACGACTCGCCGCACTGACTGGGACGCTCGTGCTGCTCGTATGTGTCCGCGTGGCCCTCAACGGCCGCCACACCCTCTACGTCTGGAGCAAGTACGAAAACGAGTTTGCAACCATGCAATGGGGCGTCTCCAAATGGCTCACCATCGCGCATCTGCACGGCTGGTACCTCTTCAAGCTGCTATGGCCTCAGCACCTGTGCTACGACTACGGCTACCAGACGCTGCCAGTCCTGGATTCGATCCTCGATGCCCGCAACGGTCTCACGCTCGCCGCCTACGCTGCGCTCGCCTGCGTGCTCGTCTGCGCGATTCGGTCGCCCTGGCCATCGCCGCTGCGGGCGTACGTCGCCCTTGGCGTCTGCCCGTTCGTACCCGCCGCCAACGTTCTCTTTCCCGTTGGCACGGTGCTGGCCGAGCGGCTCTTGTACTTTCCCAGCGTCGGCTTTTGCCTCGTGCTTGGGCTTATCCTCGATGCGGCGTACACCTCGCTTCGCACACGTTTCTGGCTGCGCTGGCTCTTGGTGAGCGCCGTTGGGCGCTGCTAAGCACGGGCGTTGCCCGCGCCGTGAGTCGCAACCGCGATTGGCACAGCGAGCACTCGCTCTTCGCGTCGGCGCTCACTGTGTCGCCGAGCAGCGTCAAAGTACTCACCAACGTCGCCAAAGAGCTCTTGGCGAGTGACCCGCCCCGCGCCGCCATGTACCTCGAGCGCGCCGTCATGTTGCTGCCGACGTACTCGCTCGCGCACCTCAACCTCGCGGCCGCGTACGGCAAGTACGACGCGGCATTCGGGAAGCCGCTGCACTCGATGCACCATTTGATCCAGAGTTGCGAGCTGGACCGGTCGTCGCTGGTACTACCAGCGATCCCATTATAGACTAGAATCGACGCTGGATTGTTCTAGGCGTACGCATCGCTGGGTCTGCGTCTGGTCGAGTTTGTGGCTCGGCACGGCGACGCGATTCCAGCTGCGCGACGACGCAACATTCTCGAAAAAGCAGAATCGTTTGTCTGGGATGCGATTGCGGTGACCCCGCTCGTGCCATCGGCGTACTATACGTTGGGCCTCGCCGCCTACTACCGCGACGCCTACGACGAGGCTCTTCAGTACGTTGCAACCGGTCCGATCTTTTGGTCGTGACACATGCAGGTGGTTTGAACGGACGCTCCGCGCCAACGACGAGATCGTGCAGCGTGGGTATGACTTGCAAGATCGCATGCGACTCTGCGAGCTCTACATCATGTATGGCCTCGCCCACGAACGCGCCTCGCCCTTGCCAGCCACGCGTTCGTTTTACATATCCTTTTTGACGCGAAAAGGCGCTGCCATTGTGAGGTTTGAAGTGGCCTTGACGTTCGAGCTACAGCGCCGCGATCGCGAGCGTGCCAGAGACGTGCTATGAAGTCTATAACAACGCTGCCATGTTTCTCCACGGAGCCGGCGAGTCGTCGGCCGCCCTTCCGCTACTGCAAAGCGCCTTGGCGCAGGCGCCGCATGCACCAGTGCTACACGCCAACTACCGCACCGTGGCCCAGAGCCAACGCGTCGCGGCCCCGTCGCTTTCCATCGAGTTCGTAGGTCGCCGCGACCAGTCTTTTTTAACGTGAGTAGCGAGTTCTGAGTTGGCGGCGATTCAGTAATAACGTCGTGCCACGCATGGCTTGCAGTAGTAGCCGCGGTAGCTTGCTGCACGCGCCTGGTTACTGGTTCCGAGCGACCAAGAGGTTGTCGGTCCGCCACCATGACAGTCTTTAACCGCTTGAAAAAGCCGCAAGATGAAAGCTTCGGGAACACAAGGACAGATAGGTACTGGTACATTCATAAATACAATCGGGACGGTGAGACTAGAGCTCTAAATGAAACACTTCCTCGTCGTCGTCGTCGTCATAGTTCTTGTCGAGAGGGTTGTAGCACTCGGCCTCGAACAACGCGGCTTCGCGGGCGTAAATGTCATTGAGCTGCAAGCTATGGCGCCGGCCAAAGTCGATCGCGATCGGCTGGCTCAGCGGCAAGCTGCTGATGGTAGGCGTCGACGGCGACCCCTTCATCGTGCGGTGCACGAGACGCTTGAAGCTCTCGTCAAACTGGTGCATCGAGCCGTGGCTTGACACATACGAGTTGCCATCGTCCAGCGCCATCATTAAGGAAAGATCGATGTGGTCGTGAGCCGCCAAAATGCAAAGTGACCGTCAGCACCAACTTGCACCGGTCCTGTGACGTCGAATTTGCACCCATGCGATTGGATCGCACCAGGTGGATGGCCCAAAAACGCGATGCCATTGGCTGCTTTCGAGCCAATGGCATCGCGTCGTTGGCTGCGATGCAGCCGTGCTAGCCAGGCCCGTCGCGTGACGTACGCGTGCTTGCGATTGGCGCGCGTCTTTGGCAAAGCAACTTCAACCCCGCAGCGTTGACGAGGTTCTTATTGAGAGCGAGTACTATAGATGCGACCACCCGTCCCAAGAAAACGTACCAGGTAGCCGACGGCCAGAACTATATCCGACGGCGCAACGGGACGAATATCTGATGGCCCAGCTTGATGGCCACGGTAACCGATCCGCCGAGCGGACGGGCGAGGCTGCGGTGTGTGCAAGCGTGGGACGGGAGCGATGTGGCAAGGGCCCGGCGAGATTCAAAGATCTGCGGAGCTTGCCGCGACGTATGGAGGCGCTCTTGCTACGCGCGCTTCGAAGGGCAGTGAAGCCGTTTGACAATTGCCGCTTGTCGTCGGGTACTGTAGATGCGGCGGGACGCGGCGGATGACTGGCCAGAGACAGACGCCGCTCGTTCGGTACGTTGGCGGCACCCTGGCGTCACTCGCACCCAGTCCGCTGAAAAAATCTGGTCTGGCTCAGTGGCTCTGGCTGGTGGAGGAGCCCGTTGTCCATTGCCGAGGCTGCTTCCTCCTCCAGTAGCTACAACTCGAATACGTCTGACAGCATGTACCAGTTGTACTGCTTGGTTTGGATGCGACGCTTGTTTTCTGCGGGCTACTGTTTTTAATATACTGCTACGAGGCTACCTCGCACCTGAAGTTGGGCGGTGCTGATTTTCCGTGTCACCGGACGCACCGAGTGGAACCAGCTGGTCGCCAACGGCGACGGAAAAATGCACCGCAGCTCGCTCCTCGACGCGCTCTCGCCGGACCTCAAGGCTCGCGTCGAAGCGTCGCTCGGACGACCCATCTCCGAGCCAGCGCCTTCGCCGCGGGCGGTCCGCCCCTGCGCCACGGCGCCGCCAGTGGCGCTCTTGCGTCCGGACGAAATCGCCGCCATCACTGCGTCGCCGGGCTACGTTGTGCGCCACGGGCTGCTAGGCCCAAACGACGCCGCCGCCGTGCATGCTGCCTGTAGCGAGCTCCGCGCCTTGAACCCGCTGCGGCCCGCCCAAGTCGGCCTCGGCGACGTCACGACGCACGTTGCCAGCGCACGTGGCGACCAGCTGCTGTGGCTGCCTCAGGACGAATCTGCGCTGCCGCCACCGCTCCAGCGCCTTCTCCAGCACATTGAGAAGCTTGTGTATGGTACGTCCGGACCAAATAGTCCCTACAGGCGTGTCATGGTCTTGGCAGGACTCGTCAAGGCATCGCCGGGCCTTGGTATCCGCAACATGCGATCGACGCAATTTGCGATCTTTGTATCCTTTTTACCGTCTTTTTGCCGTCTTTTTACATCTCATTCGAAGCGCGTCTCGCTTGGGCCTTGACCGAACGACTAGCCTGGGAACGGCGCACGCTTCGTGCCGCATGTCGATACACCAACACCGACGACGACCAAGCCAAGTCGTCGGCTCACGTGTCTCTACTACCTCAACCCACATTGGGTGCCTGACCACGGCGGCGCCCTGCGCCTGCATCTCGCTAACAACGTAGTGGACATTGCGCCAACGTTGGATACGCTCGTGCTCTTTCGCAGCGCCGACGTGCGCCACGAGGTGCGCCCGGCGTTCGCCGACCGCTTGGCGTTGACGATCTGGTACTACGGTGACGCGCCGGCTCCGTCTCCGTCGCATGCCACCGCCTCGATGCCACCGCCGCTCCCGAGCTCCGACAGGAACGACGACGACGACGCGACGATCTTTGTATCGATTCCGAGCTTCCGCGATTCCGAGTGCGCGCCGACGTTGCGCGCCTTGCTCTCGACCGCCAAGGTGCCACGTCGGGTGCATGTCGGCGTCTGCATGCAAGCCACGCCGGACGACGACGTTCAGTTTCTGCACCCGCCGCCGCCAAACGTTCGCGTGCACTTTATGGACGCCGCCGACGCGACCGGCCCGTGCTTGGCACGCTATTGTACGCAGCAACTCTACAACGGCGAGACGTACTACCTCCAGATCGACAGCCACATGCGGTATGCGATCGTCTTTGTCAAAAAAATCGTCGTTTAAAAGGGAAAAAATCCTTCTGTTAGGTTTCGCCGCCACTGGGATGCCTACTTGATCGAGCAGCTCGCGTCGTGTCCGTCGACCAAGCCCATTTTAACCACATACCCTCTCGGCTACGACCGCCCCGACGTGGTACCGCGGCGCCATTCCAGAAGAAAAGCATGGTCCAGCGCATCTACATGGTGGTAGGTGCCCGCTGATGTTCGCCCGACGCTGCTCTGTGCGCTGCCGGGCATGGACGACACGGGGCTTCTGCGGCAATGCGGCAAGGTGCTCAAATTGCCCACGCCAGCGTACGTACTCGTCGATCGAGAAGTCTCAAAGCAGACGATGAGAGTAGACCCCTACCCTCTCGCTTTTGGGCGGCGGGGTTTGCGTTTAGCCGTGGCAGCGTCGTGCACGAGGTATGTTGGCTGAACGGGAGGACGATCGGTTCCTAGCATGAGTACTTGCTGCTTCTAGGTGCCGTACGACCCGCATCTTCATTTTGTGTTTTTCGGCGAAGAGCTCAGCATGGCCGCACGCCTCTTCACGTCGGGTTATGACTTTTTTGCGCCGAGCCAAGCGGTCGTGTACCACCTGTGGTCCCGCGCCCACCGCCCGTCGTTCCGTGACCAGTCGCCGCACCCGACCGACGAGAATGCAGCGAGCTACGTGCGCGCGCTCGTGCGAGGTGACATCTTAGACGCCAAGGCTACCGAGGTGTACAAAGGACTCGGCCACGTCCGGCCGCTGAGCGCCTACCACGCTCTGCTCAACGTGTCATTTGCAGAGAATGAGGTCGATTGGACAACTCTCTGGGGCGGCCGCGACCCGATCGAGTTTGCCTTGGACGCTGCCTTGACGCAGTAGCTGGCATCAATCGACAGTCATGCCATGTCCGTGTTGTGATTGATGCAGGGACAAATACATCATTTTGCGATTTAACAACCATACATGCCCGTCGCTGCCAGTTGCGAGAGCAATCCGGATCGCCAACAACACGAGAATGAACACCACATACAGTAATATCAATGGTCAATGCCGTCTGGGAAGCTCGAAACCTAGCCCTAACCAGCTAACCCTATCCCGCATTCGACAGCGGCGACGATACGTCAGCGTGGAAACGACAAGGAGGACTAGACTCGAACGGCCTGGAGCGCGTTTTGGACTTGGTAAATGGTGGGACGCTCATTCGGGTCGTGGGACGTGCAGAGGGTGGCGAGATGCTTGAGCCAGTCGGGGCAGCTCGGTGTGAACGCCGTGGGACACACGCTGCCGTTCATGACGGCGCACATGAGCGCGACGTCCGACATGCGCGCCATGTGCTGGAACGGAATCGCGTGCGAGTCGAGCTCCGTGAGGACCATGCCTAGTTCAAAGCGGCACTTGTCAAAAAGATGGAAAAGATGGAAAAAGGACCGAGGGAATAAATGTCGGCGGCCACCGAGTAGTCGCGGCCGTGCAGCACCTCGGGCGCCATCCAGCGGTACGTGCCGACGCCCATGGTCATGGACGCGTCGTCGGCGTCCCGAGCGACGCCAAAGTCGACGAGCTTGGCGCCCTTGATACGGTCAAGGAGGATGTTGCGCGACTTCAAATCCCGGTGGATGACGTGCAGCGAGTGCAAATACGCGAGGCCGTCGACCACGTGCCGTAAGATACCCACTTTAATCGACCACGGCAGTGTCGCGGGCGACGTTGTCGCGAGGCGCGTCCGCAGATCGCCGTCGTCCATGAGCTCCATGACACCTTTGATGTCCGACGGAGTGGTCCACACAACGCCGACAAATTCGACAATGTAGGGCGAGTGGAAACTAGACAAAGAGTGTCAACGTATAGATACATAGATGGATACATAGATATATGGATAGATACATGGATAGGTAGAGTACCTGGAGAGGAGCTCGAGCTCCTTGATGAACGCCGCAATGTCGCGGGCTGTCTGACGATGGGCCAGAAGCGTCTTGACCGCGACAGGTAGCCCAAAACACGTCGCGCGCCACACCTGCGCAAAGGCGCCAAAACCAAGGGTCTCGTGCAAGACGAGGGCACCCGGGTCGATGCGGTACTTGTAGAGGGCTTGCAGGTCGAGCGTCTCGCGCGGACTCAGCGAGCTCGTTGCTGCGTACGTTGACGGCCCCTGCGGTGTACCCACGTTGGGTGTGTCGAGCTTGGTCGACAAAGGACGACGTTTTCGGCGACGACAGAGACAGTAGATACCGACGACGACCGCGACAAGAGCGAGTGTGCCACCGACGCTACCGAGAATGAGCGGGACCTCTATGCATAAGCAATCGTCACTAGACAGGAAAAGGGGGTTGGCGCAACGAACGATTGGTCTCGGATGACCCAAGAGTTGACGGGGTCGGTGTCGGTGTCGTCGGAACCGATGTCGTCGGTGCGTCGGTTCGTGTCGGCACTGTCGTCGGCTTTGGGAGCGCACGGAGGCTCTGCAGTCGGAACGCGACTGCCGACTTCTTCCACTTGTCGGGCACGTCAAAGTCGGTTTTCCACGTTTCCGAGTTGCCAAGCCCGTCCGAGATCGTGAGCATGTAGCCCGGCGAGAGTCGCACGGACTCAAAATACCCTTCGACCTTCCAGGATGTCGAGAAGAGGTTGATGGGCCGGGACTGGCCCGAAAAGTTAAGGTCGGTGTACACCGCGCCGACCTCTTGGGCCTTCTTGTTGATCGTTGAAAGCTCGTGTGAGACTTCGCGCACGATGAACGACCGAATGCGCCCGCTCCAGATTGGACCGAGGCTGCGTTGGGTCTCGTTCCAGACCATGTAGTTGCCGGTGAACCGTGTGTACGCGTAGCCGACGAACTCGTAGCCAGGGCTGACTTCGACGCCAGTGATCATAGGCGTGTTCATGAGCGCCTTGTCAGCGAGCCAATCGTTCGGCAAAATCGGGAGCAAAAAATCGAGCGTTAGACCCAGTCGCTTGCCGCCAGGGCCAAGCAGCGTTGCGACCTCGGGGTCGTGTGCAACACCAGTCACCGACGCGGTCCACAGGAGAAGAAGCCCGAGACTAAACGCCATCGAGTACGGCGACATGTGCCGTGAAGAGTCTTTTTGGATGCGCTTCAAAAAGAAAAATGAGCGCGAGGCAATGAAGCTGCATCTGGTTTCACTGTCCTTACCGACGCGATCCCACTCCCGCCGCGCAACGCTGCTGCCTGTCGCGTCCACCACTGCGTCCACCGCAGGTTGCCCACGTTGGTTTCATGTCGTTTCCCAGCGCACACCATGCGGTCTACGTCGTCTCGATAGTAAACGAACGAGCCTGTCATGCATGCTCCATGGCAACACCCGCTTTTAATTGGTTGAAACCGCTTCGATTTTTCTTCTACATTTTATACAGCCAATCAAATCCACGACATTTATGGCCTCCAGCGTTGCGGTCCCCAAAGCGACAAAGGGTTACATAGGAAGCGAGCTCGTAATGGCCATACCAGTGTGCGCTCAGCCTTGTCGATGCTTGGCGAGGCATCCTCGCCACCGCAATTCCCACGAACTCGTAGACGACGCATATGTATCGGAGAACGTTCCGCGATAAGCTAGTTGGCCGTTAGATGTGGAGCCAATCAGCGACAAGGTCGTTGGTGCAACGGGACGATGCCACGTAGGTTCGAATTCTCGCCGATATTCTATTTCCAGCTCGCAACGAATCCAAGCTCATTTTGAGACTGGCGAGCTCGGTCCACACCCATCAACGATGAACCCACCTATCGACAGCAGCAACCGTGGAGAGACCGACGGCGCACCGGCGTCGACTGTAGCGGCCACCCTCTCCAAGAAGGCCAAAAAGAAGCGCCGTGGCACGGCCAAGACGGACGAGCGCCTCGAAGCCTTCCACTCGCTGCACGCCAACATGCAAGCCAACCTTGCGACGGTGCGTTCCAGCCTCCTGCGGTCGTGCAGCCGCGCGAATCGACTGGACTTGGTGCTCGTCATGGACTGCACCAACTCGATGGGCCTTTGGATTGACGTGGCGAAGCGCGAGCTCACCAAGATCATTGCAACGATCCAAACGGATCACCCGCAGTCGACTGTGCGTGTGGGCTTTGTGGTGTACCGGGACTTTTGCGACGGCAACAAGCGGCTCGAGATCCAGCCGCTTACGCCCGAGATCGCGCACGTCGAGGCCTTCATTGCGTCGTTGGAAGCGACTGGTGGCGGCGACGGACCCGAAGACATTCCGGGTGGTCTCGAGGCGGCGCTGCACCTCGACCGGCAGGCTGACGCCAAGTGCCTCGTGCTGGTCGCCGACGCGCCGTGTCATGGCGAGCTCTACAACGACCTCGGCGACGACCACCGGTATGCTGCCGAGATCCTCGAGAGTCCGTGCATTCAAGGCCAGATGCGCGAGCTCGCGACGCGCGGCATCGACTTTGCCTTTATCGACATTGTGCCGAAATGGACGGCCACGATGCTCGCGCTGCTAGAACAAGCGTACGAGAGCGTGCTGCCGGTGCACGGCAACCCAGGTCGGTTCTCGATCGTGCCATTGGACAACATGGGCGACGAGATCAAATTTGCCCCCGTCGTGTCGCACCACAGCAGTGCCGTGCTATTGGCGAGCCAATGCGTGGGCGTCTTTTCGCCGGCGCCCTCGACTCCGATGCCCCCGGCGCCCCCGCCGTTGCCCCCGACACCGCGACCTCTGACACCCGAATGGGCGTCGCCGATGACGATCTTGCCTCTCGACTGGGATGGTATCGGCATGCTCGACGAAGTACCAGCCGTGCGCCACACGTTGCGCTTGGGACCTGGGCCCGTGGACTGGTCGGCGCCGGACCTCCGCCACGCCACCCAGCCTACAA